AAATACTTGCGGAAATTTCTAGAGTATTCAAAAAATACAAACCGAATGTTCTTGACTATTCTGTTGAATTATTTTAAAAAGTTGTATTATTTGAGTTTTGTTATGTTTTCGTCGAGATTTCTAGCATAATTAGTTTTAACAATATAATATCAAACAAACTTTTATTTTAATACTATGTCATTCTCGAAGTCACATAAATGTTTTAAACTAACATTAATTGTTTGCAAAAATAAATGTTTTAAATTTATGTTTTTAAGTTCTTATAAAGAAAAGTTTTTAAGTTCTTAGAAATTGGTTTACTAACTTCAATTATTTTTGCTTCAGCCATTCTTACAGTCTCGTTATACTTAACTCTTTTCTGTTTTAAATACTAATTAAAATTATAAAGCCCACTCACTAAACATTATCAGCGGTAATGTGAAGCTGTTCCGCTTCCTTCTCACTAAGTAATTTAACGTTTTTTAGTTAATTTCTATCTAGTTAAGTGAATTTCTACAGTAACTCAATGGTTTAATTTTTTCATTTGTTCATCTTACTAAAAAGAATAAAAAGAAAAGAATCAAATGTGTTAAACTTTTCAAACTATGCGAAGCATAAAACAGTTATTTAAAAAACCTTTTTATTTATAAATATATCATCTAGCGTTAGTTTTACTGGTTGAATCTTGTTGGACCTTTCAGGGCTGCGGACTGCATTATTTTAGTGGCATTTATTATGTGCCACAGCGTAAAAATGACTAAAAAAAATACAGAATGGTACTTTTGACTATTTCGCAACTTCTAACAATGTGAGTCCTGGGGCTATAGCCCTTCTATCCCATCCCCCTCTCCCCCACCTCCTCAATCCAGCACTGGAAATAAGACATAAGTATATAAATAAAAATTATATACTTGTTGATAAATTAAAGAACATTTGTTTTCTTATTAAACAATCATTAATAGTAAGTTGTTACTTTGTAAAAAAAATATCGCATAATTTTATAAAAAATATATAAAAGAACGACGTTTCAAAAATAATTGCTCTAATCGTATTTTTTTGCCTAAATTTTTTTTTGCGTTAAAAGCTGTTTTCTTTTTTTAACTGTCTCTCAAAGGTCCAGTTAATCTTGTTGCACTTTATTGTTTGTTTTTGAAATGTTCTCAAAACGACTAAAAAATCTGGCCGGTTTTACGCAACTAAATATTATTTCCGTGGTCAATTATCGAGTGTGATCGCACTCGCTTCCCGACCAAGCCTGATTTACTGAGTTTACAATTAAAAAATCTAATATTTTTCAATGAAAAATACTATTATATATTTAAGGTTATTGTTTGATTTGACCCAATTGAGGTTGTCTTAAGGTTTGTTTTATTGTTTTTTACTTTCTTTCTTTTTTTTTAAAGTCACTCAAGTTTTTTGTTTGGCTGATTTATATTTTTATAACATCTTTAGAGAGTCTATATATCGCCTTATGGGTTTGCGAAATTGTTTCTTGTTAAATACTATTTTAAATTTTAACTAAAGTTTCTTTAGTTATAAAATAAAGTATTAAAAAATAAGTCTAGTGGATGCTTTAAGGTTTGGTTTATTCTTCTTTTTTATACATTGTTCAAAAGCCACCTATTTTTTTAATTATTTTATGTTGTTTAAAAAATCAACATCCCGAATCTCAGAGACATGTGTTCATATTAAAGAGGATGATAAAACAAATATTTGGGCTAAATTTTTTTGAACAAAACAAAAGAATAAATGAATACCAAGAAAAAACTAACTTTTTATTTTTGTCGAAGCTTGCCTTTTCTGTTTTATTATAGGTCTAAAACCAAAATTTGAAAAAAGCTGAATTTCTGCAAAAATTAATGCTACACTATTAATTCTTTTAAATGGAATTAAAATCATGTATCAGGAATGATAAAAAACTCTATGATGAGTAACTTGCATAAAAATTATAAAATATTATAAACTGCTTTTACTACTGTTACCATGAAAACCAAATCAATAAAAAGTTTTTGAGAAAGGCTAAATTTCAAATTTTGTACTAAAATGACAACCACTGGAAAAAGATTAGTTTGAACAAATGATTTTTTTTTCATGATAACAATTGCTATGGTAACTTAAAAGAAACTGTTTTTCATGGTTAAGGGACCTGGGAATCAAAGAAGTTTTAAACGCTTTGACCCTTAAAATATCCTGATATTTTTTAACATGTTATGAAAAAAATAGCAAGATATAAAAATAGCATAGAAAAGATATAAAAGCAAGATATAAAAATAGCATAGAAAAAGATATCATTTATTAAAATTAAAAATCAAATATGGTTAAATTCAGCTAACAAACTTTATATATTGGTTTTAAATTTTTAAATTAAGCTCTGACTTATTTATAGTTTAACTATATCAAATTTTTTTTTATGTAAATAATAGGTTTTTAATTTGATGCAAAACTTTTTTAGACTTTGGGCCATAATGTTGAAACTATGGTTGTTAAGGATGTTGCTAAATTAAATAATTTGATGGATAAAGTTACTGAAAAAAATTGTAAAATAAAAATATAAAAGTTTGATAAAAATTAATATAAAATATAAAAATATAAAACTTTAAAAAAAAAAACAGAAATTTCTCTTTAAAAATTCATATAAAAAAAATTTGATACATTACAAAAGTTAACATCCATCCACCTTAAGATTTTCTTGTTTGGCTTAATTATGTTTTAAAAATATCTGTAAAAGGATATAGATGTTGTCATATATTTATTATATTTTAAAAATATCTTTTACAAGTCTTTATGTTTCCTTAAATTTTCTCATAATCCCTTGTTATATATTGTTTTAAATTTTATGTAAATTATTTTATTAATAAAGTAAGATTTTTAAAAATCTAGGTGACCTCTCAAGGTTTGGTTTATTCTACCATTTTATATATTGATTTAAATTTTACCTTATTATTTTTTTAACTATAAAAGTTTCTTTATCTTTAAAATAAATTATTTAAAAAAAATCTTGATGACACTTTAAGGTTTACTTTATTCTTCTTTTCATATATATATATTGTTTTTAAAATTTCGTCTCTTGTTTTACTGAATTATACTATAAAAATATACAATTAAAAAATCTATAAGTTGCCTTAAAGTTTGTTTTATTGTTGGTTTCTATTTTTCATTTTAAAGTCACATTAAGTTTTTGTTTGGCTGAATTATATTTTTTAAATATCTTCAAAAAGTCTACATGTCGCCTTACAGTTTTTTATATTGTTTCTAGTTATATTTTGTTTTAAATTTTACCTTAAGTTTATTTAGTTATTTAAGATTTAGTTTATTCTTCATTTTAAGATTAAGTTTATTCTTCATTTTCGTATACTGTTTTAAGTGTTTTATTTTATATTGTTTTAAGTCACCTCAAGGTTCTTTTGTTTTACTTAATTTTATAAAATTATTTTGTATAAAAATCTAGTTGTCATCTTGTTTTTAATAGTAACCTTAAGGTATTTTTTGGTTTTCTGAGTTTTACTTTAAAAATATCTAATAATAAATATGGAGGTTGCCTTAAGGTGTGTTTTATTGTTGCTTTTTAATTTTTATTCTAAAAGTCACTCTAAGATTTTTTTGATTGTCTCTTTTTTGATTGAATTATATTTTAAAATATCTTTAGAAAATCTTTATGTTGTCCTTATGTTTGCTTTATTGTTCCTTGTTATTTATTGTTTTAAATTTTACCTTTTAAGTCTTTAGTCATAAATTAAAGTATTAAAAAAATTTATTTTTATAAATTATTAAAGTCACCTTTAAGCTCTTTTTTTTACTGTTTCATTACAAAATATCTTTAAAAAGTATGTATGACGTCTTAAGGTTTAGTTAATTGTTCCTTGTTTCGTATTTTTAGTTTAATTTTAAGGTACTTAAGTTATTAGATAAAATATATTTTTAAAAATAATTAAATGACACTCTAAAATTTGTTTAAAATTCAATTTAAGGTTCTTTTGTTTGAAAATGCAGAGGTTGCCTTAAGGTATTGTCCGTAAGTTGTGCATCAACAAAAAAATCCATAATATGAAAAATATAAATAGCTAATTAAGTTAAATGAAAATCTTAAAAAAGTGCAAAATATATTTATTGTTACCTTTTTTATGGACAACTCCTTGCGGTTTTTATGGACAAACTCCTTGCTTTTTTATTGACAACTCCTTGCGGTTTGGTTTGTTGTTTCCTTTTATATATTGATTTAAAAGTCATTCTAAGGTTCATTTGGCTGTTGTTTAGCTGATATTTTTTATAATCACATCCCTGTTATACATTGTTTTATATTCTTTAGGTTTTTTTAGTCATAAAATATACTTTGATAAAAGTTTGATTTGTTGTTCCTTATTGTATATTGTTTTAAAAAATCACTATTTTATGTAAATAATTCATCTTATGATTTTCTTTTTTTTAATGAGTAAACCATTTTTTTAAACATTTTTAATATGAACACAACGTGTGTTAAGAGTTTAAGATCCCTACTACTATATTTTACTATTAAATCAAAAGCCATATTCAATGTTTTTATCTAATCTCTTAAAGTTACCAAAATTAATTTTGGCGATGTCTTATGGTTTTTTTGTTGTAGTATCTTAAGTTAAGCAACACTTGGAGTCAGCATTCTGCAATGCCAACCTAACTGCTGACCTCAAAGTGTTTGAGGTCAGCAAAAAATTGCTGACCTCATTTTAGTGTTTAATAGTAAGACCTTAGTGTCACATTTTTTTTGCCGACCTATATAAGATTGAGGTCGGCAAATTAAATTAATTGCCGACCTCATTTTTCCTAATTCCCAGGGTTGGTTATTATCTTTCCTTTAGATTCCTAATAGTTTTAGATCTTTAATATTGATGGAACCATTAAAAAATATTAAAGGCTTGGATGACACTACAAGGTTTAGTTTCCCATTTCTTATTTTATATTGTTTTAAAAGTCATAGGTTTTTTTTTTTTTAAACTAAAAGTTTATTAAATAATTTATCAGACTCACTTATTGTTTAACCAATTCAGGTAATGGTGTATTTACAACAAATAAATTTCTGAAAGGAGACTTTCTTTTACAGTACAGAGGTATTTTTTATGTGATTTTTTCAGATTTTATTAAACTTATTATTATTTTTTTAACATTCAGTTGTTATGTGAATATGATTTTTACTTAGCTTTGTTAATAATTTTAATTTGTTATTAGTGGTGTTAGTTGTTGTTATTAAATGTTTTAGTGGTCTTTGTGTATTTTGCGAAGCAATTGTGTTATTGTGATGGAATTTCCTCAAATTTTTCTGCCATGTTAATTAGCATATTTTTAATCTATGTCAAGCATAGTTAGGATCAAATATGTTTGATTAAACACAAATAGATTTTTAAATAGAAATACAAAATATATGTAATCAGTATTTTCCAAATTCAAATACAATTATTTCCAAAATCAAATACAATTACAAAAATTTGAAATTTAGGTTAAGAGAAAATATAAAGATTTTTTCAAGACAAGACTGATAAAATGGTCTACTATATAGAAGAATAAAAACAAGCCTTCTAACAAATATTCTATAAAAACAAGTTTTTAATTTATTTTATTGTTAAAAATGAAGAAAAAAAAACAATAAATCATATGGTATTATCAACAAAAAAAACATTGATTAATCTATTTTATGAAACTGGAACAGAAATACATTGGTTAACCTATTTTATGAAACTGGAACAGAAATACATTAAAATCAAATACAAATATTTAGGAAATTTTTTTTTATCAAATAACAATACAAATACAAATACATCAAATTTTTTTTACCAAATACTTATTTGATCCCAACCCTGATGTTGGATAAGATAATGGATAATTAAATAAATGAATGGATAAATTAATGTTGGTCCCTGAGTCAGGATATGCGGCTGATTTTGGATTTGAGTATCCGGTACCTGCTAAATTTTGGATTTCAGTACATAAGATATGAGTACCAGCCAAATAATTAGTCAAACTGACAATATTTTTTATAGAGTGGTCAGCTGTCTTTAAAAACCTGGCAAAGTCTTGAAAAAACACTTTTTAGCAATAATTCTTAGAAATCCTGTTTGTTTTTTAAAGTTAAATATTTTGTCATGTTTTTATCTTTTACAGATTCTTAATTTTGTGTAGATTTACAGAGAATGTAATAATTGTATGTTTTTTTTTAATTCATCAAAAGTTTTGTTTAATGTTACTGTCAGTAATATGAACATCGTCTATTTATTTAGCCATTTTTCTTTTTCATATTTTTTTATAAATCAACATATTGTTTTTTTTTTCTGGTTGAATAAAGATCATTATATCTTTAAAAAACCCAAAACTTTCCTTGAAAAGTCTTGAAAATATCCTGAAATTTTGAATTAGCTATTGGCTAGCAACCCTGTCTCATGTGTATAAATATTTTTGTATCTGTATTAATTAGGTGATGTTATTAGTTTAAATGAGACAAAATTGAGGTCCCAACAATATGAGAATGAAGGATTGGGTTGTTTTATTTATAATGGGATCAAAGATATTTATGGTAAATCTGTTTGGTAAGTTAAATATTTTTTCATTTTTTATTATTTTGTTCTTCTTAAACTTTTATGGTTTGTATGGCTCTTAAATTTGTATGGTTTTTATGGCTTTTTTAGAATTTTTTACATATTTAAGAAAGTATAAATACAAAAATAAACATTGATCATGAAATTTAAATTTACTCATGAAAATTATGAAACAAAATTTACTCTGTTATTGTTTTTTATTCTTCTGATACTCATTTAATTTCTGTTTTTTTTTTTTTTTTTTTTTTTTTTAAGCATTGATGCTACAAACCAACTAAGTTTCATGGGATGCATGGTAAACGACTCACCTTCAATATATGCTAATGCAAAAATGAAAAAAATAGTTGAGTCTAATCGTGTTAGTCTTTGTCTTTTCGCTACAAAAACAATAGATGTTGGCACTGAATTAAGGTATATTTTATATTTTAAAATATTATTCCATTTACGTTTCAGCTTACAATACATGGTTTGCATGGTTGTTGTTGTTTTTTTTGAGGTAAAGATTAGTTTTTAGTAAATTCTTAATCTGTTTGTCATAAAATTATACTGTGAAATTACTTTAAAATAATTCATTAGGAAATTTGTGAATAAATAAAAGAGATGTAGTGTCTCAAAAAGAACATCAGCTTTAAATTATAATTTTTTCTATTATCTGGTGTCCAGGATGATGCTGTATAAAATAATAATCTTCAATTAAGAGCACAAAAAACTGGTTTGAGACTAAGAAATATATGTGAAATTAACAACAGATAAAAATGATTTCCTATCTGCATACTAGATTTATAAAAAAAAAACTGAATAGAACTAAAAAAAAAGCCATAAAAAAAATGTAAAATGTCAAACTGCAATAACTCATTTAGCTTGGGCAAGTGTATAAATAAATTTTAAGAAATGATTTTTGTGAATGTCTTTTTTTATCACTATCATTGTTACTGCCATCATTACCATCATCTTTTTAATGTTATAATTTTATTGTTTGCATTTTGATTGATTGTTTTCCATAATACTTCATCTCCAATATTTACTTTTTTTTTTTTTTTTTTACTTTTTTTTTTTAGAACTAATTGTTATTTGTTCTTGATTTAAAATATCTGTTGTAACACATGTAGTTTGTACAAAAACATGTAACAAACGAAGTTTTGATTTTAGAAGAAATAATTTTGATATTTTTAGATACGATTATGGTGATGAAAGAAAGAAAATGTTCTGGCGGACCATGGTGTGTTTTATTTATGTTAATATTTATTTTATAGTTTATTATTTTTTGTTTATTAATTATTATCATAACTCTATCAAGTTTTCTAAATTTTATTTTAAAAAATGATTTTATCTTTAAAAAGTTTTAACTTTTGGTTTATTACTATCATTTTTTGTTCAACATAAGAAGTTCAAGCTAATACATTTTGTTCTTGTTACTTTTACCTAAAATATTAAAACATTGTTTAAGGTTTTCAGGTTTTACAAAAGTAGTGTGAGGAGAGGGGGAGTGTGAAATCTAAAAATGAATATGACAGTTTTTTGTTTTCATTTCTTTAAATTTGTAGATAAATATAGAAATAGTGAGGATTCTTATGACTGGTATGATAAAATAAAAAAACCATAGCAGATGCTTGTTTTGCTATGTTTGGTTTTGACATTGTATAGACTATTAAGACTGTTTTGATTAACCAAAAATGATTTAATTTTTTAGATTTATTTTTTCAAAGCTTCTGATATATTTTTGAAGTACCATAATGTGAAAGTTTTGCTCTATACTCTACATTTATTATTTATTTTTTATTGAGCATATATTTAAAAGTTTAAAGTATATTATTTAGGCATGCTTGTTAAGAATTAAAATTACTTGTATACTTATTAAATGTTAAGGCATCATGTTTACAGCCATTATGTTATAACCAAGCTAATTGTGTTGAAATTGGAGCAATAAATAGGGAGGTATAATTTAATTTATATTTTATTTCATTTACATAAAATAAAACATTGGGTTATGATTTTATTTAAAAACTCTTAACTACTTAACATAAACAGGTTTCACAATAAAGGCTTTTTCTTGGACATTATTTTTTTGTATAGAGGACCTTAATAAATCAAACTATAGTGGTCTAATATCTTAGTGGTTATTTCTTTTCACTTTTTTAAACTTTTTTTTGACAAAGTTAAAACTCTTTTCTTTTTTATTTATTTTTCTTTTTAAAGTTAAGGTATAAAATAAGCTTGTAGCTTAAACATCAATATTAAGTTGTTCTATAACTTTTTGCATCTTTTGTCTCTTACAATATGTTGTTGCGGTATAAAACACACAAAAATTTTAGCCAACTTCAAACACTTAGAGGTCAGCAGTTATTTCAGCATTGCAGAATACCAACCAAAGGCTGTTTAAAACATGCTGAAAAAAAACAAAGCAGATAAAATATACTAAATGTATACTAAACAATAAGCAAGTCTTTTAGTCAAGTCTGCAATAAAGTGCAGCTAAATATTACTGTCAAAATAAAATCTAATAATTATTATTTAATTATAATTCATTAGTTATATTTATAATTAATAATTTCATTAATTATTATTGCATCAATTAGAACTTCATCAATGAAGTAATAATTATATAACCAAATCGTTTTGTTATTTCACATGAAAAAGTTTAAAAATGATGCTTCAATGATGTAATTATTTACTACAAATAGATAACTTAATAGTTATTAACTACTTAAGTAAAACCTTGTTTTAAAGAAAAATTAAATACTACATAATTAATGATATACAAATTTTATCATGTTTGTATCATGTTTTTATGATTATATTACCATATTCTTAATAAATGAATCTTCATTTGATTTTTCTGATAAAGAATTAATAACTTCTCCAACTATGGCAATTACTTCTTGACAGTACATGTCATCTGCATTATTTAAGATATTATCTAGTTTATTTATATTTAAGTCAAAAATTACTAACATTTACCAGTACTTAAATATTTGGTAATAATTTAAAAATTTTAAAGTGCTTTTGCTGTTTGATTAAGTTTTTATGTTAACTGTTCAGTCAATTTGTTGTTTAGAAATTAGATGTTTTGAAAGTTTCATTGGAAAAGCCATTGTTTGATGATTCTGACTCAGAAATTGAATATCAATATCTTTCCACTGTTGATAATATTACTGAATCAAGATTTACAAAATGTGATCTTATTTTTGAAAAAGAAAACGAGTTAGTGTGTTTGTCACCAAACAAAGAAACAGAGTTTATTGCTGTACTTCCTAGTTTAATTACAACTCCTATAATTGAAAGATGTGCTTTTTGGGAAGAACTAAAAACGTTTTCAGAAGCTTCCAATAGTGATGTTCCTAAAGAAGACCTAAATTCAACATGTGATGATTTTGGTAAAATTACAAAAAAATGTTTGAATCTAATTAAAACATGTGGAGAAATTGAGGTTGATACCTCAAAACCAGAAACCAACAAGTACACAAAACCAGCACGACTTTGTTTATTTTGCAAAGTTCCTCAGACTCGGTTAAAACGCCATATTCTTTTAAAGCATGGTACTGAAATTTCGGTATTGCCTCTTTTAAATATGAACTCTGTAGATCAGAATCGTTATATAGAAATATTTCGAAAGGAAGCTATTAGAAATCACAATGTTTCACTGGTGGAATCAGGTCAAACATGTTTTATTAGAGAAAGAAAGTCAAAAATACAAAATGATGAACTCCCTCTTATGTGTTGTGGGTGTAAAGGTTTCTATTCAAGAAAGTATAAAGCTCGTCACCAACTTGTTTGCCAAGGTACAAATACCAATCTAATGATACCTATGGTTTCTATAGCAAGTGAAGATTATGAAAATTATTCAAATGATTTTGTCAACCTTCTAAATACATTACAACTGGATGATATTGGAAATTATATTAAAACTGACAAAATCATTTTAATGATTGGTTCTAGATCTTATAGCGCTCTTAAAAGAAAGAAAGATAAAGTTTCAGAGACTAAAAGATTGGTTCGTTCACGAATGCAGTTAACTGCAAGATTATACTTATCTTTTAAAAGTATCTATAGCAATCAGAAAGCTGTTAAAATAGATAATATCTTAAATAATGCAGCTGACATGTACTGTCGAGAAGTAATCACCATAGTTGGAGAAGCTATGAATTCTTTATCAGAAAAATCAAATGAAGATTCGGACCATCTTTTATTAAGTGCACAAAAAAGTGGCCTAAAAATCAGTATACTTAATTTATTAAAATTAACAGCAAAATTTTTGATTGGTTACTTTTTGGTAAAAAATGATGATTTGAAATCTCAGAGAGTAGTTGACTTTTTAAAGGTTTTAAAGCTTTATGAAGATGATTTATTTGGTGATGCTTATTATAATCTAAATTATCGTAAAAATATTGATTTGCGGAAACCAATTAATCTCCCAAATGAAGCAGATGTTCAACTGCTTATTGAGGAATGTAACAAAATTATGAATTCTATTGATGATTTTCAACATCCATGTGAATCATTTGTCACTATCCCATCTGCAACTGCCACATGTTTGACTATATTTAATGCCAGACGAGGTGGAGAACCTGTGCGGTTACACTTATTTCAGTGAAATGAGGCTTTAAATGGAGAATGGATGGATAAACAAGATCTGCCTGAAGAATTTGATATTGAGCAAATGTTTATCACTTATCAAACAGGGAAAGGTTCGGAGCACACAGTTCCTGTTCTCTTTCCACCAGAATGCATAAAAGCAATGCGATATCTGACAAACAAAGAAGTTAGGAAAAATGCTGGAATTCCTGATGAAAACCAATATATTTTTGCCAGTACCCAAAAAAGCATGAGCCATGCTAGTGGTTGGCATTGCATAAATGAAATATTAATTCGTTTAGATAAAAAAAGGTGCAATTAATGCCACCCAAAATCGGCATTGTATTGCTACAATCTTAGCAAAGCTGGAGTTATCAGAAAAGGAAAAAACTTTAATTTATAATCACTTTGGACATTCAGAAAGAATCAATCAAAATGTTTACCAAGCTGCTCCTGGATCCTTACAAATAAAAACAACAGGCAAAAGACTAAGAGCTATTCAAGAAGTGACAAAGGTTGATCTAACTCCATTCAAGTCAATTATTTCTAATTCAGCTGAACAAGACTTAAGCACTATAGGAGAACATGTAATACCAACTGATGGTGAGTAATGTTGATTGCTTTTTTAAAGTTGAATTAAATATAAAAAGATTACTTTTTAATTGATTTATACTTTTATTTTATTTTTACTTATTATTTGAGTTGATAACCAAAAATGATAGTAAACTGAATAGTGGTTTAAAAACTAGGCCAGTCCTTGATTTAAAAAAAGGTTCAACTGATTTTTTATTTGTTTACTTTTTTTGTATTCTTTTAGGTAAGGTTTTTAATTATTATTTTTTATATTGTTATCATTTTGTTTATAGTTATAGAAAGTGAAACTGGAAGAAAAAAGTATCCTAAAAGATCTTTCCATGAAGGTTAGAAATGTTAAAAGTTATACAATTTCTTCATTTCCTAATAATAATAATAAAAATTGATATGATGCTTAAGCTACCACAAGCTTAGTTCAAGCTTCAAAGTTTAACATTAAATGTTTTCTAAACTTAAGTAAAGTGATAATAACCTGTATTTTTAATTTATATTTGAATTTTAATGAAAATTTCAAGCAAAAAAAAGTTGTTTGCAAAAGCGGTTAACAAATTAGTGTTTAAAATCACAAAATAAATTTAGCCTTAATAAATATTGTATGAAGTAAAATAGCTGCAAAATAACATTGTTTTAACATAATGTTTAAAAGGTTAAAAAATTACTTTTGATGTTTTTACTAAATAATAAGTTTTTACTTTTGTTTTGTTTATGCTAAAGCTATTTTGAGTACATTTGATATGCCATAATTTTATTATTATTATAATCTCAGGTTAAATACTGATTGTCGATAATTTCCTCTTTTATGTTTTTTAATTTCATTTTTTTGGATTGTATAATTTGTCTCTGAAAGGTGTTCATAATTTCTATTTAGTTGATTTTACAAAGATATCTGGAAATGATAGTAAAGTGGAAGGTGAGAGAAAGATAAAGCAAGTGCTAAAACTTGAAAAAGGTTTAATTGCTTATATTGTTACGTTTTTAGAATGCATTTATTAAGTTAGTATTCCCTATTTTAAAGTATGGTAGATAAATCTTTGGAATTAAAATAATACTTTTTTTTTTAACCCTTGAACCATGTTTAAAGAAAATAAAAATATCCCAATTTTAACTTAAGGACGCTTGTTGAAGCCAATACTGACAAGGTTTGGTAAATCATTACACTGGGGTCATCCCACTATGTAATGACCTCACGCTCTAGGAGAGGGGTTAATGGCTTTGTGATGACTAATACGTAACTTGTTTCTCAAGTGTCACGGTATTGTGACATGGAAGGGAGGGGGTCACAAATAGTCAAAAATGGCGTGACGTAATTTATGGACGAGCCCACTGGTAAACACTAGTCAAAGGCTTTCTCAAACATTTTAAACGTTTTTAATTCATTTTAAAGAGTTTAATTATTTTAACTCTATTTAAATATTATAACTCTTTTAAACAATAATGGCATTTTAACTTTTTTGAAAGTAAATAATTAGATTAACTGTCATAAATTGATAGTTTTGAAATTGCATATGCTATTGTAATTGTCAGTAATTTTTGACGTACATAAGTATTTGTATATTTTTACTTCAAACCTCTATATATTCACTTCTAAATATTTATGTCTTTTCCCCTTAATTAAATGAATTTTTGCCTTTTTGCTTATTATTTACTAAGCTAGTTATTATTGTTTATTAAATCAAAGAAATGAAGTGTTAAAAATGTCTTACCTAATTTTATTTTATTCAGAAAAAGCGATCAATAAAGAGAAAAATTTAACAGTTGAAAAAAAGTCATGGAATAAGTCTAGTAAAGTTGCGTTTAACAAAGAATTTGCTCTTCACCTTAAAAATTATCGTGGATATCCAGGTATTTCATCAGTTTTACTATTATGAAGTATTTTTATTTGCTTTTAATGCGGTTTTCAGTTTACGCCCAGTACAAGCGTACTCATTAAAACAATAAAAAACTAGTTACGTTGCTCTTTTCAACGTGTTAGTGTTTTTTACAAAAACACATTTATAGAAAAGCTAATACATAAACAGTAAAATCTTTAAAATTTTAACTGTTCACATGTTGAAAAGGCCTGTAATTTGGCTATAAAAAAATTAGATTTACTTGTAGAGATTTCGGTTATTACTATTTTTTTCAAAAATTAATAATTTTATTGTTTTCTTTTTTTAGGCCGTAAAGAAATGGAAGTATTTGCAGAAAAATTTTGTTTAGACCTCAAACAAATCAGAACTAGAATTGTTAATACTCGAAGAATAAAGCAGAATTTTCGGAAGAAGACAGTTGCACTTATGGGAATTGATTAATGCTACTAGGTTGCTTTTATGCCCTTTGCGGGCTGATATGACAGAAGGAAGCCTGCAACCAAACAATTAAATCTCATTTAATATCATTAAATCTGTAGATTAACACGCGTTATTTTAGCTTATAAGTATAATAAAAATAGTATAAACGTTTTCCTAAAAAGAGGTAACTTGCTTTTTCTAATAAAATTTGTGTTAAAACTGTGTAATATGGTGCCTACTTGCGTCAGTTTAAACCCTGAGTATTTTTAACTGTTATTGTTTTTAAACTTTGTGGTTGTTTGAGTTTTTGTTATAATAATGTATTAAAACTTTATAAAATAATAAAAAAGAAAATTGTTATTATTTTGAAATATGCTCCGAATATAAACGATAAACGAGGTAAATAAATATTTGTTAACTTAATCTTTATAAAAAAAAATGTTTATATCTAAACAAAAATCTGTCACCTTACAGTTGATCTAGGAGTTTTTTTTCCTTTAGGCGACTTTAAAATATACAAAAAACGTTAAGGTGACAGCAAATTTATATAACTCGTATAACTTTTTCAGTAAATATTAAATTCTCGAACCAGTAACTGATTAATCATCATTAATTTCTAGCGAATCTGTTGGGCTTTATTTTTTTTAAAAAAAGTTGAAAATTTTCATGAGTCGCCTTAGGGTAGTAAATTTTTTACTGTTGCCTTAAGGCGCATCTAGGGTTATATATATATATATATATATATATATATATATATATATATATATATATATATATATATATATATATATATATATATATACATATATATATATGCAGTTATTAAAGTGTCTAAAATATTAATTTATTGACAAAAACATAGACAATGTTATATTTCCTTGCATTTATTTTTATATCTTTATTGTTTAACTGCTTTAAAATATGATCAAGAGGCTTTATTTAGATTAAAATTGTTGGACCTTCAAAATAGGGTATACTCAACGTTCCTTCAAATAGTTAAAATTTTGTTTTAGCGAGCGAACTACTTATTGGCGAAACATCAGAAAACATGTTTTTGCAATCTCACAATCTGTTGATGAAGATAAGTGGGTTGAGGAGCACACTAGCACAAACGAAACTTATTCTTTAAAAAATTCACAGTTATTTCCTGAGCATCGATCAGAAAGTGAATCTAGTCATGTCTTGTTTTCAGAAAATAATTCTGCTGAGTTTAAGGATAACAATTGCTTGTCTGAGACAATAGATTTTCTTTTAAGTAATGATACTAATAATTATGATACTTCTATTGAATGCCAGTTCTCTACTTTTACTGATGCCAGTTATGACCATTTACTGTCTGAACACATTCGTATTTGGGCTCTGCAACACCGATGCACAGAAGCTTGTGTCAATGGTTTGTTAAACATTTTAAGATCTCATGGTCATCAACTACCTAAAGATTCACGATCCATCTTGGGCACATTAGATAAAGTTCAAACCACAGAATTAAATGCTGGAGAATATTACTACCTCAATATAAGAAAAGGTCTCGAAGATATATTAAAAAATAATATTTATGCTGATAAAGAAACTAAACTTCTGTTTAATGTAGATGGTCTTCCAATTTTCAAGTCATCTGGATACCAGTTATGGTTAATAACATCCCAATTTTCTAACTTCAATCCGTTTACAATTGCGTTGTATGGTGGGTATGATAAGCCAACTGCAATTAATTTTCTGCATGATTTTTCAAAAGAACTTCAGGAATTTCATAATAAAACTGTTATTTTATGTGGAAAGTTTTATATTGTTTCAATATTTGCAATTCCATGTGACTCACCGGCTCGAAGTCTTTTAAAGGGAACTGCGCAACACAGTGGTTACAATGCATGTGAGCGTTGCGATGATTATGGGGTCCCAGTTCAGGGTCGGATAGTATATGATACAACAAATCCTAATTTAATTTCATCACGAACTGATAATGGGCTACGGACTGGTCAATATTCTTAAAGAAATAATGATAACAGGTGTCATCATCACAATATAACGCCCTTGTATGAAATACATAGTTTAGATCTTGTTAGACAATTTCCATTAGATTATATGCATCTGGTTTGTTTAGGTGCTGTGCGTCGTATTTTATATTATTTCAAAGGCTCATATCCACGTATATATTCAGGAAGATTATCTGCTGCAAA